GAGGGAGGTGCCAGTTGGGAAAGCCCAGAGAAAGATCTATGGAAAGCAGATCAGAAGGGGCCCTGGAGTCTTGGTGAGTGGTCATTCAGTCTCAACTCGAGTGCCTCTAGTGATGGAGAACTCACGTCCTCCAAACCACTTCACTGTTCCTTCTCTTGAGCTAAATCCTGCTTCTGACAAGCCTCCATTCGGATGCTGTTTTTAATACGGGGGCCACTTAGACCCTCCCTTTTCTCCCTCCCTCGGCTTGGAGACGGCTGGAAGACGACCTCAGTCTCTCCTCTCTAAAGTGGAGACCACACTTAGCTCAGATGGCTTGAGAGTTCTAAATCTCAGGTTTTCTGTACACAGAATTCCACATGCATCCTGGCACCCAGTGGGCCTTCGGTACACGTTAGCTCCTCTCTCTTCCCTCGCTTTGTGGTATGCTCTCATGTTCCCTGACCCAGAGTGGGCTGTTTTAGGAGAAATGTTCTTTCATTCTTTGAAATTCCTTCTTTTCATCCTAGGCCTGACTCTTATTTTTTTTTTTTTGTCAATGCTCTTTAAATACGATGGCTCTTGAAACTAAATATGAATCAGCTATTCATTTAACATAAATATGTATTTTCAACAAATATCTTTTTGAGATGTCAAACAGAAACTGAAAGGGAGAAATAGTGACTTGGATTGAGAGTTCATGGAAAGAGAAAACTCTCACAAATGTCTGGAACATTCATTCAAGATGCATTGATTTCTCTTCTTGTGTGCTGGGCCAGGGATCCCAGGTGTAGGCTCTGCCCTTCCAGAGCCATGGGACAGCTGGTAACTCTCCATGTGGCCTCCTGGAAGCTGTGCTGTAAGAACCCTGGGGTCACTTCCCACCCTGAGGTTATGTCTGTCAGATTCATGATTGACCTGGGGACTGGATTTTAGGACATCACACAACCGCACGTTCCCTTTCCTCTTCTACGCATCCTTCTGGGCTGGCCAGATCGCCTTGGATATGAACCCAGAGTGACCTTTCTGCTTGGGTTGTTTCTGGCTCATCTAGAATGTGCAATAAATGTTAAGGGACGGTCTCTGACTGCGCGCATTTGTGATTTCTGGGGGCAGAGATAAAATGAGTGGAATGTGTGACCACATTCCTTTCTTGTCTAGAGGGATTCACAGACACATCCTGCCGGCCCCGTGTTATCTAGATTCTTCCTATTCCAATGGGAGTCCGTGGACCAGGGGCATCCACGTTGCCCAGGGGGTCATTAGACTTGCAGAATCTCCGCCCCTCCCAGGATGGCTCAGCCGGAAGGTGCTTTTCCATTAAAGACCTGCAGGTGATCCACGTGCCCACTGAGGTCTGAGAAGCCTTAATCCAGAGCAGCGGTTGGCAGGGGCATTTCCTGTCGGGGGCCACAGGGTCATGCTTTTGGCTTGGAGGGCACACGGCCTCTGTTCAGCTGCTGCATTCTGCTTTTGTAGCATGAGAGCAGCCAGACAATATGAAAGCAGATGGCCATGACCCCGTTCCGATCAAACTTCATCAATCAAAGATGTGCCGGGTTTGAAGTTCACTGCCAACACTATTATTGTTACTATATTTTTTTGTACTGGGGATTAAACCCAGGGGTACTTTACCACTGAACCACACCTAAAGCT